TTTTTTTTTTTTTTTTCTTTAGCTTGTAACATACGACTAATGCTTGTTGATTAGTGGCAAATATGCCAGAGATTATATTTAGATATAGAATCGTACTATTGAATGTAAGAAAAGTTACAGGCCCTTTTTCGAGTAAAACAAATAATGTTCTATGGTATAAAAAATACGTAACACAAGTTTAATATTTCTTCTCAATGAAACTATCAAGAAGAAATATTAAATTTTCACAATAATAAATAGCAATGTATAGTATAATACTATATATATATATATATAGAAATAAATGTAGTAATAAATAACTATTAGAAAGAAATATTATAAACAGTCTTGCAATAATTGCAATACATAAGGGATAGCTTTTAAATATAATTAACTTTTGTCACTGAGATACTTCTTGCACGCAATAGTATATTTATCCGACGTAGTGTGATTTGAATTTCGTTTTTATTCGTATTGTTTAGGATAGTATCGAATCCAGTGTAACTTTCTTCGTGAAGAAATCTCGATCATTCCGGTGGATCGAAGGGATTATTTTCGCGGTGGATATCGATGTTTAATTAGCTTCCGCAGCAAACGAACGCGATTCGAAACTAACAAAAGTAGATTCAGACAGCAGCGAGAGCACTTGCGAAAAGCGTCGCAGACGTCTTCCGAAACTTCTTAGCTACGGTCTGATCAACGAGTTCTGACTGGGATTCTGGTCAAACTTTTCTCATTTCCTAGATCACGTGACTTCTTTCTAACTATCCTGCGAGGTGAATTTTCTACTGCAATTTGATCGGTCATGAAGCTTCTTACAAGACCTCTGATCGACGAAAGAGAAGAATGGCCCGCGACAAGTATCGCTTTAATCCTTCAAAGGATAAATCTTTATTTATCTGCTGTGGCGTACAGTAGGATTTTGATTATATGAACTCGTCGGGGGAGAAATAGTTTATACAAATGAAGTTCATATAATAGAAATATTAGATTTAGAAAAATGGATTCGACTCAGAGTAAGAACTCATACCGGATATTGAGTGACATTTTTGGTTTAAGTAAACGGAGTTCTATTATTTGCACACGATGCCCATAATATACTTTGTGGCCATAGTGTGATCCTTAAAAAAAGTGGATGTGCCGATCTTGAAATCTCTGAAACTCTACCAACTACAAAAACATTGTTATTAGTATATTATAACCCTTTCTATGCTGCATGATTTTTGTTGATAAAATTTTTTTATATCTCCAAAGACAACGTATTCAATTCTTATTAGATCACCCTGTACATTAATTATTATTATATGTTATTATGTACTGTTATCATACTTTGTCGAAAAAAGTCGATATAAAAGTATTTTTGATTTAAGGCTTGCTAAATTGGCCGATAATTACTGAGAATAATTCACTTCGCTGATTTTAATGACCTTGAATTTTTTTATCAGGGTAACTGAGTAATTTCTTTTCATTTAGTTGCTTTAATTTTCGAGATATCAACTTTAGCTGCATTAAGCTTAACTTATGTTTCTGTCTTATTTTCTTTCTTCGGTTCCATCGACGATTCTTTTCAATAATTATCATTTATTTTTGCGACTCACTGCAAAGTGTTGTACGTAATATTGCCATCCGGCTTTCGCCAAATCAATACTGATATTCTTCTTTAAAAAGGTTTTCTTTCTTTTTATTATTGATTTGTGTCAGTTTCTGCTGATCGGAAATACTCTTAATGAATTAGAATTTAAATTCTGATTTCATTACGTCAAATCCTTAAAAAATATTTTTGCGAATATCTCTGAAACTAAGGCCAAGTGGCTGTTTTATGTGTGGGAACAAAAAAAAAAAAAATTTGATCAACATGTTTCAAGCTTATTGAAATCAGTGACGAAACTCAATCGGCCAAATGAAGTGTCAATGTACGTATAGCTTATTGCCCGATGGAATCATATAATCATTATCACTATTATCATTACTGGACGTATATTCTTTCCAGTAATTTTCATTGTCACGAATCAACTCGTATTTCGAATGATTACAATGTGTGTACAAGAATTACGCTTTTCGGAATGACATTGAAAACGAGCGATTCTAAAATTAAATATTATTCTATAAGCTTTCTTTTTTTACTTTACAATCGTACTCGATAGAACTGTTTTCTTGACACGACGAAAAATTTCGTCTTACGTTGATCAACGTCACATATATACATTTGCCTTTGGTTGGTTAACAAAAACAGACTAGAACAGTATAAAAAAATATTCTACGTACAAGTCACCATAATTTAAATGACATTAAAATGAACGGATTATGTTTCTGTCCAAACAGAGATTAATATTAGTTCTGTTCGAAGAGTATCCGTATTTTTCAAACACTTGTAAAAGAACGAAAACCTGAAATCGGCCATATTGTTCGATTCTTGTAGTAGTAAAATTATACAATTATTTATAAAACTTCTATAATGACACTTTTGATGAATGATACGTGTTTCATACAGGCAACTGTCATTTCAAATAACCCGCCGGAAGAGTGTTAATCGTAGGAAACACGCGGAGAAAAGATGGTTATTATCGAACGACAAAAGAAACAGAGATGCAAAAACGTCGATAAAACGACGTGATACGATTCTTTTTTGTCATGTTGCCCAGTATACGTGGGCAGCAGAGATAATTTAGTCTTGGAAGAATTCGAAAGTTTGCGACTGCAAGACGATAGAAGCGGCGCACCGGCGCTGTTGAAGCTTAGTTAATAGCGCCAATTAGAAACGGTTACCTTGGTCG